TTTTTTTTTTTTTTAAAAACCCTGTCATTTAGACCTCACTGTAAACATGGGTAGAGAGGAAATGCTATAAAAAGTTCAGTTTCAGGTAGAAAAAGATACCTAAACATTTGATTATAAACAAATAATCTAGCTCAAATATATTTCCATTGATTATCCATTATAACCTCAAACAATTTTCCATACATTTGAAACTACATTTATATATCAAACTTTGTTCCAAGATTTACTTTTAACTATACTGGAGTAAAGCTGCGTTCTGTTCTTATATAATCTTTAAATCACTATACAAAACCTAACCAATATAATGAATGGCCATTTAAAACTAAAAAGATTTTCTAAAATATATTTACTTCCTGTAAGTTGCTTTCACACTTTTTTATGGTAAATCTGTTTCACAGATCACTTCTTTCCTATGACATTGCCTGGGCTACAGATTGGATATGGAAATACCATGTCCCCCCAGCAATGAACATCTAAATTTTTGGGTCAATAATTGGTGGTTGCAAGGCCTAATCCTTTGTTTTATAGCAACAGTTCCACTGGTGATTAATTTTTCTTGCTTCCACACAGGACAAGACAAGAAAAAATACTATAGGCAAATATCATGCACATGGGCAAAGAGGACTCAGTTATGATTGAAATGGACCAAGATGGTATTTACCTCTTGTTCTTAAATATAATTCATAGGTTTCATCCTAGGTTTAACTTCCTCCTCTTAAGAGGATTTGATCCCGTATCATCTACCTCTGAGATACTGGTCTTCATCAACTTGCTGTAAGGCTCAGGTGCTCTCACCATTTCACAATGTTTTTCTACTCTCTCTGTCTTCCCTTTTTAGTTGGGCACAGGCAGAGAAACAGTAACAAATAAAGTAATCGTTCACAGAAGAGGTGATCTTAAGAAGCAACATATTCATGTACTGTTTGCAGTAGATAAACATCATACATAGAGAATTCTGCTATTCTCCAAATAAATCAACAAAGCTACAATATCAGCCCCTATATTCCTCCTGAAAATGTATTTCCACTGTAAACCCTAAATACATATCAGAGCAAGGACTAATATTATTTACTTATTACTCTCATAATTTCTGTATATTGACCTCTCCCCACAAGTTCTCACAAAATTTTAATTTTTTTAAAATGTAAAATTATGGGTTATGCGGTGTTTCAGCTCCCCTAAAGTATTCCTATTCCTTTGTTGTTCAGCTTCACTTTATCCGGCTTTGGAGAGCTTGTATGGTTTTTACTATGTGTTTGTATAGATCTTAGATATTTCTATACGCCCTGTAAGCTTTGATTATCACCCAAAGTAAGCATTGTTGTGTATTTTTTGGAAAAGGACACATGGTGGAAATACAGCCATGTAGCTTTTACTAGCCTACAGATTGATTTTTTTCTTTTTTTTTTTTTCTTTTCTGAGTCTAATTAATTCCTAAGTTCTCCTTTTCACCAAAGAGCACTACAATTTTTGTTTCTGATTTTTAATATTAATCTAGAAGTCATTGTGGACCAAGTTTAATACATTCACCTTTAAGTAGGAAACCCCATTTGTTTTTATAAATGAAGCAAAAAATAGCTCTTAATTGATACCACCCTATGTAAGCAACCATGTCAGAATCCCTCAGTTGGGAACCCCTTCTCCTAACAACACTATGAACTGAAATCTAGAGATGATTTAGTGTTAACATTTTTGTCTAGTCATAATAAATACATGAAGAAACAAATTTTTTGAATATTATCCACCAGTAAAAGATATGAAATCAGACCTGGGTTTGTAATCTGACATTTTAGGTTATATACAGGCTCGGTCTCAGGTCAAACACATATAAGTATCAGATGGAAGTGAAAGGTATTCAGAATGTGGGTTCATATCCAAGTAGATAAATAACAGCAGAATAAAACCTCCTTCAGCATTTTAAATACTATCAGATGCACTGTAGGAACTGTACATAACCAGGAGTCAAAGTAATGCAGTACCACAATACATAGAGGGGAAAGCAATTTCTTGGGGATCTTCACAGTGCATAGGGTATGTACACACACGTTACATTCTATCACAGTATGCAGGATAATCACCCATTTGCTTGCCACTGTCTGTATATTATCTACAACAGTCTCAAGAATTGTGATTCAAAGATTGCTGCTTGAATATATGGATTAAATAACACCTGTGCCAGAAGCTGCCTCTTTCTCCTGAAATGAACTGAGATTTCAATTTACATAATGAATCCTCTAAACTAGGCTTTGCTGAGAAGAACCAGTCAAGGACAAAGCATTTAAAACTCAGAACCTAGTAGGCACGATAGAAGTAGTTTCATTGAAAAACTGACATTAAACAGAATGTATAGATAAAAATTGCCCTTTAGGAACTGTGCCCTTTCTGGACAATATATGAAGTGGTATTTATTTTTCACCAGGTCAACCCTGAATTTAAGACAGACCTTGAGCTAAATGCTCCCTCTTGTTTTGATCCGCCCATATTCTTAGAGGTTTTCTATGAAAGAATAAAATGTATAATGCCACTTTTCAGAGAAATTCTTACATAGTTTACTCCTCATAAAAATACAGTGTTAGAAATCTATAAGCAATCTTAATAAAATGTATCTGTGACTTTCGGGACAGTTAATAAAAATATATTCAATGCAGTGAAGGTGAATAATTATGAAAAAACAAGTGTGTTTTTTTGACAGTAAACGACAAAACACTGCAAAATACAGGGTGAACTGAAATACTACATATTATAATCTGAAACTCAAGTCTTGCAGTGATTTTCAATGATCTGTGAATTATTAAAACCAATAATCCATCTTTTACATGTTTATATACACTGATATTACAAAATACAATGGATTCCATTTACACAGTATAGAAGATTTTTAAAAATCATTAAGCAAATTTATTGGAAAACAATACTAAATGGAGATGATAACTGTAATAACCACTTTAATCAGGATTTTTTTAGAAGCTGATACATTTTAAAATTGACTATGATCATCAAGTAAAACAAGAAGGCAGTTTTACTCCTTACCATTCACGATAACAATTATGTCCCGAAAGTCAATTTCTCCTCTGGCTTCCACTCTTCCTTCACATCTGTATACCCCTTCATCACTTTTATTGATGTTAAGAATTTGGAGATTATTGTTTGCTAATACTGCAAAACGATCTAGAAAGGTAAGAAAGAGATTAAGTGGTGTTAGTAAATCAAGACAAGACAAGGAACACTAACTTAAATGAGTAATGTTTATGTACAATCAGAATGCTCACTGACAAAACATTTGTTGAATTAAAAATGAAATGTCAGCCTAGAAATTTGGGTATTTTCCCACTCCAAAATACACTGCCATTTCCTAAAATTCAATCTGGATTTTCCATCCGTAACTTCCTACTTAGTCTAAGGAGTCATCAAATGTAAGTTAAATTTATAAATTATTGCAAAATGAGTGGAACATTCATGAACACCTGCATAGAGTATCAAAGAGATTGAAGTGATGGAGAAAAGATAAACTGAGAAATTTGTAATAATATAAGTAAGAAAATTCTTCTTTTTTGCCTATCTAGATTAACCAACTGTCTTTGTGCCCATTTTATGGCACTATGCTTTCTCATCTTGCTCACTCTCCTTTCCTCCTCCTGTTCTTTTGCTCATTCACTGTTACTCAGTCAATGATGTACTTCACCATAGCCTAACACTTAACAGAAATGGGTATAAAGACATAAGCCAAGAAACCACTTCACCTTCTGCACAGTCCAGCATAAACTGAAATTCAATAGACCTTTTGAGTAGCTTAAGTTGACTGAAAAAAAATCAGATTCTGAACAAGTGTGCATACACTTTCCTGCACATGCAGCAGATAAAAATTATGATCCACAAGAGTAAACTGAACCTGAATTTAATCTTTCCCTCCTTTCTGTCTGAACTAGTGTATTTGGTTTATGTGACAAGATGTTGGCAGCAGGAGGTCTGCAGGAGTGGCCTCTGTGAGCTCCAGCGGACCCACTACAGGTCACGGCTGAGTCCCGCAGCCAAGGTGGTGGCATCTCTGGGAAAGTCTGTATAAGAAAGGGCAAAAACCACCCTGCAGCAATGGAGAGGGAGGAATGAGAAAAATGAGAGAAACAGCCCTGCAAGCACCAAGAGCAGAGGAGGCTGAAGGGGAGGAGGTGCTCCAGGCACTGAGAGTGTAGGGTGCAGGCAGATATCCACATTGCAGTCCATGGAAGACCCTATGCTGGAGAAAGTTTATCCTGAACAGACCTGGAAGACCCAAACTGGAGCTGTTAGGGACTGACCACAATCTCCATTCCCCATCCCCCTGCACTGCTTGGGGTGGAGGAGGTGAAAATGAATAGTGAAGTTGAGCCAGGGGAAAAGGAGGGGGGTGTGTTGCTTTAACCTTGCGTTTCACCTTCCAACTCTATTTAACTGGCAATAAATTCAATTAAGTTTCCCCAATTCAAATCCATTATGCCTGTGCTGGTAATAGGTGAGTGATCTCCCTGCCTTTATCTCCATCCATGAGCTTTTTCATCTCATTTTCTCCCCCTGTCATGTTGAGGAGGATGAGAGAGTGGCTGGGTGGGTGCCTGGAAGCTGGCCAAGGTCAACCCACCACAACTAGTCAATATTAATGGACTACTTTGAGAATTACTTCCTGCAGTTCACTGTATGTGGTTTTTGAGGAACCTCCATACTTGTTATTCAGCTTTCTTGTTCTGTTTGGATCAACGTATTCCTTTCAGTACTGAAGGATTATGTGATTGACTTTCCGTTTTAACTAGTAGCCAGGTATCATTTTTCACTTTGCTTTCATTTTTCATTCTGCTAGATATTTAAAGCATGGCAGACTTCCCACAGCACCACCACTGATTTTTCAAAACAGAGATAAACAACACTTGGCAGAAAAGCTTTCATGTAGTTGTACAGCTAAGACTCTATTTGTAGAACATATGTGCACACATATTTACAAATAAAAAGCTTTTAATGCCATGTGGGTTCTTTTTCATTACCAAGAACACTATCAGAAAAACGTAAAAAGAAAATATAATTATGCTTCACCGATAGAGGTTTACAGGACAATGGCCTCAACATAGTTGTGCTAATTATGTCTAGTTTATTACAGTCACGCTTGACCATTAATGCCATTTCACACACTACAAGATACGAATTATATCATAGTTTTCTTTCTGTCCCTACACAATTCCCAGAGAGCTGTGCTTCAAATATTTTGAAAAAGTGATATCTAGCCGCTCTGTAAGCATTGACAACCTTTTTTCTTTTTTTGTTAACATAAATATTTAATGTGTGAGATGAGTGAGAGGACTGGAGATCACCTATAATTCTTTAAAATGCTGAAGAAATGAGGGTTCATTTAGAAATGGGAAACAAAAACTGGGGTTGGCTGGATATCTTTCGACTTTCACTGAAGGACATTGTAATCAACACAGTAGGAGATCATCTCATGAGTAAACTAGTTATAACAGAGGATAAACATCTTGGATCTTTTTCTGCCACTCATACTGTCTTGATACAGACAAAATTAACACACATTGTATTATAAGAAAACTTTAAAAATGGAATGTGAATTGAATATGTGACTTTCTTTAGACTTAACTTCAAATGTCCAATTTAGAACAGTCACACCACCTTCCCCTTAGGTGAAATCAGAGGTTAAGTGGTGTGGATGGCAAAAGGGATTGCCTATGTCTTTTCAGCACCCCATAAACACAGCTTGAGGAATGACACCGCTTTTTCCACTAACGTAATATGAACTGCACAAACTGTCACAGTGGGAAACAGTTCTCAGAGACTATGCTACACTGCGAAAGAAACAGAACTGGCTTGTCACAGCCTACCCAATATGACCTGTAGGGTTAGTCTGGCTCATCTGACGTCTGTCTTACCTAGTCCTCAGAATAAGAGAGAATACTTTGTTTATAGCCCACACAAATGATAAGAGAACATGCAGTTTCCTAGAATTGCAACCAGAAGTATTTTCAAAAAAAAAGTAAATTCTAATAGTTTTCCAGAACCTTTCATCATATATAAATAGTGATCTTGAAGAGAATCATCTTACATACTAAAAATACCTATGCAGGGGGAAAAAAAAAAACCTTAACAGAATTACATAATTGAGAAAGTAAAACACTGAAATACATTAAGGCATACAGGAAACATGAAGGATGCACCATACTCCAATATTTTCTATCCAGTCATATACAAAATACAATTTTCTACATGCACTGAAGTTACATATTGCACCTGTATTATGTTTATAGAAAACTGCTAATCTGATAGTAGAGTTCAGACAAACCTTAATGATTTGAGCAATGACAGAATAAAAACTGCATATGTGCACACATAGTGGATAATTTACATGCAGCATATTTGTATTAGCAGCAGCAGCTAACCTTCTTCTAAGATTAATTCCAACCATAATATACAAAAATCTGTACATAAAATCTTTATATTTACTTTACGTACTGTAGAATGAGTTGTATTTAATGTGTTTTGAAGCCGCAGATTGTGCAAAAACAGAGCAAGTCACAACTCCAGATAAGATCTGACCAATGAAAACAATGCCATTCACTTTAAAAGCTAGGAAAATGTTCCTGACTCCTTTACAATGGAATTATGAGTCATGACAATTCAGTTCTTGATAACAATAGAGAAATTCTTAGGACTTTCCCTGAAAATTTTGCTTTATATTTTGCTCCTTAAACATACAATCTAAGACCGGAAAGATTTTTGAAGGTCATTGTTAGTTAGTTTGAGGGTTTTTTTGCCCTTTTTTCTTTTCCTCCCCTTCTTTCTTTTACAGAAGAATGATGGACAGCCACTCCCACAGTTTTTACTCACATCTTTGTTCGCAGAACTCAAAATAAAAGATAAATCTTAGAATGATCTGCCGCTGGAGCAGATAAAGTGTGGGGAATATACAGAAACTAATTCAGAACGGCGAGTGGCTATTTCACCTAAAACTGTTTCAGCTACAGACCTAAGTTGTTAAATTTTCACTTCTGATTTTGTGCACAGGCATTCTGGAAGAAGAAATCAGTCTTCGGTTCAAATGGAACATACAAATATGTACCTGATGTAACAGGTAATGTAACTATATGTAGTATTATGTAGCCATATATTATATATAATCTAACAGATATGTAAAGACCAGTAACTGTCAAGAACTTGCAAAAAATTTAAATAGACAAAATTCTGCAAAAGTCCTGCTAGTAGTAACATATACAAAAGAAGAATGTCCCAAAAGAATAATTTAACAGAAAAAACACGAAATTAAAGAAATAACATTGTCTCATGTTTTCCTATTATGCTCATGCTAGAATGCTTAAAATAGAAACTACTTTCTCATGCCCCACAAATAAATTGCAGTATCCATTTCAGTTTGGATATTAAATTATTCAGTATTTTAGATTATGTGAAGTAAAACCCATCAGGAATAATTAATTACTTCTTTTTCAATAGGCACCATTTAGACTATGACAGACAAATTGGATGCTATTTAATTTAAAATTATGCAAATAGATTACAGGTACTGATCGTTCACTAGAGATTTTGAAGCTGGAAATGTACTATGAAAGTGAGTCTTTATTTCACAAGGCATGAAAAAAATTCTTAACTGTACGACTTTTGGGTGTACTCATTTTCCATCTTCATTATAAACCCATACAGACATTGCCAAAATTCACAAAGCTCACAAAGTCCTACTTTTTACATTATTTAAAACCTCACTTCCTCCCAAGCATGACTGGAATCTTGGTTGGATACTACTCTAGGTGAGAACATAAGGAAAGTATTCTGATATTTAAATTAAAACTGGCTACTATTGTTCTACCTTTTTACACTGTAAGCGTTGTGAAAGCAAATGGTTAAAAAGACAAATTTATGAATTGAAATTTGAAAACTTAGAATCTTCTTAAGGTATAATTGTGGGGAAAAAAAAAGGAAATGTTGCTTTATGTCCTATTCAAATCCTACAGCCACCGGATTGATTGGACAATAATCAAATAAAATGGCAATTATAAAAAAAAAAAGTTTTTGATTTTTTTAAGCTTTTCAAGCTCTGAGCTGTATCCTTGAAAAAGATCTTTTTCTAAATTGCCAAATCTTGCTTTGTTTTCAGAGTTCTTACTTTTCAAAATCTGTGTCTAGGTGACAGAAAGGATTACAATATAATAAACACAAAGATTGAACGTTCTTTCATACTAAAGAGAAGTCTTACACTGAGTTCAGAAGCATCAAGCAAGCTTTTTTCCACAGCAACTGGTCCACTTCTGTTTATGTGATTTCATAAGAGAACAAATATAACTTTTTATTTTCATTATGAAGTGAAAATAATATTTAATTTCTAAAGACAAGAATTTTAAGTGCATACACTACAACCCTGAGTTTTAGTACATGCTGACATACAAGACTGATGAAAAGATAGATAAACTGGGTTTTGTGGTTTAATGCAGAAAGCTTTGTTTTTTATAAAGGACAAGAAAATTATTGAGACAGCACTGAAAAAAATGGTTCACAGTTTTTGAGGATGTAAATCACACAAATTCTATATGCCTAACTGTCTCTCTATAGGCTTAAAACTCGCATATGGGATATTTAACTTTATCAGTCTAGCTGTTAGGGAATCTAGCTTAAACAGATCACCTATATTCCCAGTTGTTTGTAACTCAAGGGTAGCTTACACTCATACAAGTAAATTCTGACAAGAGTGTATTGTATATGCAAAAAGAGTACATTGGATATGCAAAAAGCATATCTATGTGAAAGACTCTGAGCTAACGTGCAAGCATACCAAAGTCAATACAGTGCTTGCTCAGTGTCATAGCTTTCTATGCATAGGGAACTTCATCTGTGTGTGTTTTAAAAATGTGTTCAACACCTACGTGCACACATGAGAACCCAGGAAGACTTCATGAAGAAGCTCCCAGCAATCTTTTGATCTTTAGACCCTCATGTTACATCTAGACAAAACTTTCACCTGGAAAAAAATGATACATAAAGGAAACCATTTCTTATTAATACCCTACAGACCACAGAACCTGCTTAAACTCTACTTAAGCTGATGGGCTAATCAAAATCCATCCTCCACTATCATGTGATTAGTCTTCTCTTATAATAACATATTAATATTAATTAAAATGTATAACTTAAAGAGTTACCAAAATACTAACTGTCAGCAATAGTTGTGACTTCCTCATTCCGATACAACCAGCTGACAATGGGAGCAGGTGAACTAGTAACACGGCAAACAACTTCTGCATCTTCTCCCTGCCTGAACTCCTGTGGAGATATTATGTCTCGGAAAGTGAGCTTTTCTGAAAAGGAAGAAAACAGAATATAGTAAGCATCTTCCAGTTCACTTAGCATTATAAAATTATATGTGACACCAAATAAGATAAAGATAAAATAATACAAAATTATTTCCATAATACAATTTTCCCAGATAAAACTCAAATGGTCCTGGACATACAACTTCCACTGCAGAAATTATTTTACAATCATTTTGCATTATGAAAATATTTGCTTTATTTATATAAACTAAGTGTGCTTTATAAATATATTTTGTTATTGTTTTCAATGTTCCAGAGCCCAGCTTTGAAACTTATTTTTTTTTAGTGGTCTACACATTCAGGTTAACAGTCTATTTACTCTCTTGTGTGTTTTATTCCTCATGATCTTACTGAATTAAAACTACATGTTTTTATTCCATCAAAACTTTTATCAAAGTCTTATTAAAAACGTGGAATTTTAGCCTCACTGACTGTGAAAACTATCAGCTGAGTAAAACATAAAGTCTTAAAAGCCAGTAAGAAACTATATGGAAAACCTTAATATTATTAAGTCATAAGAATTTGTAGCACTATTGAAGGAATAACAAGATTTTTTAGGCCTGATGAGGCTTTTAATTATTCCAAGCCCAAATAAACAGCCTTCATAATTAATTTTATGAGTGAGTTGATTAAGTTTAGTAGTATTAGAATTTAGTGTTAGAAGTCCAAGATGGCATTCATCCATGACCTCCTACATCATCTAATGCAGAAACCAATTCTGGAAGATTTTTCTGCACACAGAAGAAAAACTGTCCTATGTTCTCTGGGATGAAAGACTGCCAGCTACATTTCAGAGGACACTTAGGAGATCATAAGTCAGAGATGCAACTCCATCTCCACTTCTTTGCACTGATATGAGTGCAGGCTCAAATAATTCACAGTTCTCACAGCAGAAGGAGCACACTTGTGTTACATACATCTCTTGTATACTTTTAAAAAGCATTTGTATGAATTTTTTCAAGTGTTTGACCATATGTAAGTCAAAAGAAAAACTCTCAAAGACATACGTGAGTACTGAACCAGACTCTTGGAGTAAAGTGCATCCTGCTTTTCCCTTACAATACATCACAAATATGAATAATGAAACTTTTATGTGTCAGTTCCCATAAACTTTCACATTTCTGGTATAGGTCTTCAGGTTTATCTAACCTCAGGATTATTAAAATTACCACATGCAAACACTTCAAAGGATTTCAACCTTGCTCAGCTGTCAGCTAGTGGAGTGACTGGCAGTTTTAAGCATACAAACAAATTCCACAAAACTTAGAATCCTTTGAACAGCCTGCTTTCAAGCCATCATGTAATCTCCTCTAACTGCTATAAACATTTTAATGGTTGTTTTATCAATCGATTTTTTAAAAAATTGTAGGTCTTTTGTTATTTGAGTTACCTGTACATTTCAGAAGCAGTGCTTTATCATTCTACTTTGTATTTTCTGTCTCATTTCAATTACTTAGATCTCAGTCCTTCCACTTTTTTTTTTAAACAGTAATAAAAAACTATTCTCCAACGAAATTAAGAGAATAACTCAGCTGAAAGGCTGCTGGCATATGTCCCAACCTTTCACCAACAAAGATCTTGCCTTATAGCTTCACAGTGTACTTGTTTAATACATTGCTTTTAAGCATTTTTTATTGGTCTAAACAACGTAGTACAATGTAAAGTTATTTAACTAATCTGAGGGAAAAAACCCCACAACTGTCAGGGAATCTCTTACCACAAAAGAATGTATTTACTTCTCAAATATACTCCTCAGGTGTTTATAACTGAAATGCATACAGTGCACTCTCATAAGATGCTGTTTTAAGATACAAAGAAAAAGTGATCTATAAGATTACAAAGTGGTCATCCATTTCATTTAAGTCTTCGTCATACTATCTATTAACTTCAGGAGATGCAATTATATGGAAGATAAGAGTCAGAGCCTGGGAAGATATTTTTATAGGCTTTACTTTCTCAATAGCAGTGGCTTTTAAAACACAGCCATTCATTTGTAAATTGGTAATATTTACTTACGATAAATTTCCAAAACAACAGTTGCTTCTTGAGTTTGTCCTTTAGCATCTGTTGCTTGACACCGATATATACCAGCATCTTCTATATCTGCATTATAAATGGTTAGACGTGACCGAATACCTTCTTTCTGAACAACCACTCTTTGACTGGAAACAATCTTCTCTCCTTGTGGATTGTACCAATCTATGTTGTCCGGCTCACCAATGGCTACAGTCAAAACCAAAAAAATCCAAACATTAGAAGTTCAGGTAGACATTATGCCCCACATATGCTTACCCAGTGGACAATGTGCAATGTCAGAGAATTGTTAAATTATGAGAGTTGTGAGAAAGTCTGTAGAAAGATTAGCAAGGCAAAACTGCAGGTAGATGTATGATTGTTGAGACAGATTAACTAGTAGCTCAAAGATTCAAGAAGGAAGATAAACAAACATAGAAAGGTATAAAGTCTTAAAAGAATAAACAGTCCAAAAGCCACTGGATCAACAGGTCAAGTCATCAGTTATTTGAGCTGTGAGCGTAGTCAGGCCATGTGTCATTGTCAGTGGAAGATGGCAATTAAGCATCAACAAGGATCCATATCAGGCCGCTGCAAATGGAAACCCTTCTCCTCCTGACTGATATCTGCCTCACCAGAAAAGACTCTTTGGGTGTCTCATTAGGTTGAAGAGGATACCAAAGCTTAGCTTTGTAGCTTATTTAATTCCTTAGTTTGGACAAGTAGAAATATAATTATTAATTCTATTAATAATTAATAGAATTAAATAAACATTCTAAAATATGCTACCTGTACTGATATAGACAATTCAAACTGAGTGATTCAGAGACTGAAATGCATCCTTTCTAGAGTCAAAATGGGAAGCCAGTGAAGATTTACTATTTACTGCAACTCTCACAGTCAATGTGACTATACAAAATCTGCTAGTTTAAATTAATTTAAACCAATTAATTCAGTTTCAGATTATGTAGGAAGTTGAAAGTCTAACAAAAAATTCATACCTACAAGTAAAATGAATACATACCTGTGCACGTGAAGAATTTTGATTCACCCACACTGAGCTCGACTTTGCTAAGGGAAATTGTAACTTGAAGTAGAGCTGAAAAATAGAACATACGTTGTGAATACATTTTGACATTTATCAGTTTAAGTTTTATATTTTCATGTTCTATATTTTCCCATTCTATACTACAGAACCTGTTCAAAAAATTTGGGAAGTTTCAGCTAAGCATTGTGTCTTTTGATGTGGAGTATATATAGAGGTGGAGTAAACAAGAAAAGATGTTACACAAAGGATAACAGCTTCACAGCCTAAAACTGAGGACAATTTACTAAAAAAAAAAAAGGGGGGAGGGGCAGAAAAAGGATAGAAATACATATAAACAAAAACTCAATGTGACTGAGTTTTTGTGTCACATTGAGTGACACACACAAAAAAAAGTGACTGAGAATACTCAGCACAGACTGACCAAAGGTAAATCATGCCTGATCAACTCCACTGCCTTCTAGGATAAAATTATTATTTTTGTGGATGAGGGAAGAACAGTGGGGGGCAATTACCTTGATTTTACTAAGGCATTTGACACTACCTCCAACAATATTCTCATATGCAAGTGTATTGGGTATAAATAGCAAGGTTTTGGTAGCAGGGTATGGTTTCAGGGGTGACTTCCATGGGAGTGAGGTCAGAAGCTGCGCTGCGACAGACACAGCCAGTTGTAGCTGGCTCCACAATGGATTCACTGCGGGACATAGCTGAGCCAGTTGGAGGAGTTTGTGACACCTCTTAAAACACCAAGACAGAGGAACAAGGTGACCAGACCAATAGGAGGTGCTCCATGTCATGGTTGGTAATGCCCCTGCAGGGAATGTAGCCCATGCATAAACCCATGCCACAACAAGTACACTCCCAAAAGGACCATGGCCTGTGAAGCAGAGGAAATGAGTTAGGCAGAAGGAGCAGTGGAAGAAAAGAGTGAGAAAGAAGGTATAAAGAAACCACTATGCCCTTACTCCAACCTCCTGCCTTACCCATCACCTGAATGAAGGGACTGAGTGTAACCTACACTGATGGTGATAAGGTGACTGGAGACTAGGAATGGGGAAGGAGAGGTATCTGGAGCTTGGGAAAGGGTAAGACAGGTGCTTTCCTAAGTGTTTAATTATCTGTCTTCTTTGTTTCTTAGTATAAATCAGTAATTAAATGTTGGGGAATATATCAACCATTAACATAAACTAGAGTCTGTTTTGCCCAACAGTAGTTTTCCTGTGATTTTCCTGTCTTTATTTTGATCCATGAATTTTCTCACTCCCTGTCTTTGTATTTTCATCCTTGTCTTGTTGGGGGTGGTGGGAGTGAACATGTGGCTGTGTGGGTGCTTTGCTGCCTACCAAAGCCAACCCACCACATCAAGTTAGGGTCTTACAGTCTGGACAGGCAGACAGATAGGTTGGTAAAAACCTAGTTGGATGGTCAGGCTTAGAATGCAGTGGCTAATCTGTCATCCTCTACCTGGAGACCAGTAAGAAGTGGGGTACTGTACGTTTCTGTCCTGTTTAACAACTTTATCAATGACAGGATGGAGAACATAGACCTAGAGAGACTGGGAGAATGTATCAAACAGGAACACCATAATATCCAATGAGGATAAATGCTAAGTTCTGCACCTGGGAGGGAATAACCTGTTGGGAGTCATACACCTGGTGATGAGAGGCTGGGGGGAGCTAGGATTGTTTAATCTGCAGAAGAGAGCGCTGCAGGGGAACCTAAGAGCCACCCACCCATACCCATGGGAAAATCATCAAGAAGATAGAGCCAGTCTCTTCACAGGGTTATATGACAGGTAGGAAAAAGTTAAATTGAAACAAGAGGCATTCATACTGAGCATAAAGAAAAACGTTTTCATGCCGTGGACAGTCAGAAAGTGGAGCAAACTGCTCAGAAATATTATGCAAACTTTGTTCTTTCAGGTTTTGAGAGCTCACTGGATAAAGCTTGAAGAATCTGGTCTTTGTAACTGACCCTGCTTTGAGCAGGAGGTTGGACAAGAGACCTTAAGTCCCTCCCACTCTGAACTGTTCTATAGTCCCATGACCCTATGTATAACCTACCTAACACAGCCAGTAATACTGGTGAAGAGTTTATTTATGCAAAATAATAGAGTACCCTTCAGAAATTGCAATTTCAGCATTATCACCACCCTATGTAGCTGTAGCTCTTCAACATCCATTATCATCATTAAACAGCAAACACACAACAAAATGCTAAGAGAAAAATAGGATTTTACCACATACTGTCACATGTTTTTATATCTAAGTGAACTGTCTATGGGGAAGAATTCCTATCATTGGCACACTCACTGAAAAGGAGATGACGTTCTTGTTCAACTTGTAAAGTCTTGAGACTTGTAGTCTTTAAAAACACATTACATATTGGCAATCCTTTGGGAATAAAAATAATGCTAAAAAAAGTTTTTTCCTCTGTGTGTGTGAAACTACAGTGAAAATTTAAACGAAATAGCCTACTCCAATGTAACTCATTCAACACTTTATAATTTAAATGTATTTTTAGATTTTTTCCTACTTGTTTTAGCAGTTTAATAAACTACATAAAGTTTTTAATTAAGAAAGTATTCTAATATCCTGTAAGCACTATAACATTACAGTATTCTTTTTCTTATGAATAAAGATATATTAAGTGGCCTAAAGATAGCCTGTTATCCATTCAATGTCCTTGAATGCTTGCTTGCAATTTGTTTTGTAGAAATATCTGAAAGAAAAACTGCATATGCAAAGCAAACAAAAATTTAAACTCTATGGAGGTTGGTTATTTTTAAACTTTGGAGTGGACAGACCACTACCAAATCATAAAGTGTCACTTGTCCAGGTTATGACAGTACTAAGAGATGTTAGTTACATTTTTAATTGCTTGACATCAAATTTCACACCTAATTAAGCAGTTCAGTATAACTGAACTTTCCATTTTATCATATTAGCATTAATTTGGATTTGTCAGTAGGAAACAGTGCTGATACAAAGTTCTAGAGCTTTATTTGAATCATTATGGATTCCTTGTTTAATTTCTGTCTTATAGAATAGAGAGTGGTTTATTTTTAGGTAGACAAAACAGTCCTTGTGTCATCATGAATTCATTTTCTACATGTGTTCAAGTGTCATTTTCCCTGATGAGAAGACCGAGAAGTCGAATGAAGTTCAAACTGCCTTCTGGGGCATAACAGATGTTATAAGGGTGAAATGCACACTGGAAGAGACCAACACAACCCAGTTTAGTGCAACAATGGGACAAATACTGAAGCACAGTGAGAAAATCCTCTGTTAAATACTTTTTTCTATTACACTTGAAGCAGAAACAGTAAAGTAGATAACCTACTAATATCTGAGAAGACAGTATACAATCTTAAAACAGGGCATTTGCTTAAAAAAAAGTCTGCTTGTTACTACTTCATTCACAAGACTTACCTCAAACAGAAGTACTGGGTCCCACCCCAACTCAAGCAAACTATAGTTCAGAAATAAATATACAAACACTGTGAATTTTATTGAGATTTCCATGTTGGCCCATATTGGCAGCTCACCTCTCTCAACACTTAAAAGATGGCATAATGATTTATCTATTTAAATACAGATTTACAAGCCCAACCTTACTTAGATATTTTTAAAAAGTTTTAATCAATATTTAATCTCTTATCACAGAAAGAGAGGATTAAAAGATAGACAAAGAGTGAATTTTAAAATTCACTGCTTAAAAAAATATTAAGCTATTTTAACTGTAGAGAAACATATTGGGCAATCTTTATCATATATTGATCTCATATATAAATAGATACGTAGGAAAAAATAATACAGAATAAGGTGTATATACTTATCAAAGCTTAACACCACCTTAACAAAATCTCCTTACCCTGAAAATTTTTCTTTCTGGAAGCAATACACAAACAAGTATTTCAAGACCCTATGAATTTTAACAAATACGCTTCCCAAACTGAAAAATATATCATGAGTTCTTAATTTCATAATTCCTCCCACAACCAAGGTAGAATCTTCTGAAGTACCTCAATAAAGATACACCTGAAAAACTAGGACCTCAATCTTTAAAGTGACAATTTCTTAGTAACAACAGTCTAAGAATTTTTTAAGCTAATCTAAAATGGGTTTAATAAAATCTGCAAAACTGAAAAGCTTGGAAGCAAAGACAGTGATACAAACTGACTACTAAACATTAAAAAATGCATTGCCCTTAATAAACAGAAATCATTGATAGTACAGCTGGTAGTACCTAGTTGAACGAGAATATTTTGAATCTTAATAAATTTAAAATGTATGGTAACATATAACCTCCTCTCACCTACTGTTGTTCAACACTGGTACAGGCTTTCAAAAGAAGCAGTTCATGAACTGTATCACATGTATTAATTTTCTGTATGACAGATGTGCTGCATCTTGAAGATACCTCTCACCTATGGGGAGAGGCTGAGAGAGCTGGGACTGCTGGAAGGCTCAGAGGAATCTTATCCAAGTGTAAAAATACCTGATGGGGGAAGGAAAGAAGAGGGAGCCAGGCTTTCCACAGCGGTGCCCAGTGACAGGACAAGTAACAATGGGTACAAACTCAAATACAAGAAATTCTGTTTAAACATAAGAAAACACTTTTTCACCATGAGGGTGGCCCAACACTGGAACCAGTTGCCCAGAGAGGTTGCTGATTCTCCATACTTGGAGGTACTAAAAGACCAACGGGCCACAGCCCTGAGCAGACTGTTCTAGGTGACCCTGGACTGAGCAGTGAGTTACACTAGGCAATCTCCAGAGGCACCTTCCTGCCTCAGCTGGTCTGTGTGATCTTTATAACATAAAAATCTACCTTGTTGTTCCTCTGCCCCAGTAAACAGTCTTTAATTATAGACCAGTAAATCAGACACAATGCAGACAAAAAAAAATCCATAACAATGACATTTATCCAAAACTGTAAAAGTCTTAAAGCTACAAACCTTAGAAATGTTGCTGAAAAGCACTCATGCTATAGCAGTGCTTCATACTTCCTCATTATATTTAATATTTGTTTTGCTGAGGTAGAAACTT